AAATAAATATTGATGAAGATTAAGAATTTTGCGTTTTATTTAAAATTTCCGGAAACCTTTCGGTCACAATGTATAATTCAAAATCATCATCATACATTATACCATTATAACATTATACATTACAAATTAGTACTTCACTACTGAAGGAAATATAGAAAGCAGCAGTTAGTATCTGGGATATAATTGATTGCGAATATAAAGCTTGAAAACTTTAATGAAACAACAAATTACCAGTTGTGATGAATCGGATCACATATTTGATAACTACTTTGGCATCAAAGCTTCAACAATTAAAAATTCAAGCAAACAACACTGACGGGGAATAGATGGGTAGTGGCACAAGAGCCGGATCTAGTGTATCTACTGATTTGTAAATTCCATCACCTTCGGAACTCTACTTCTTTATAATAGGCTGAAATTTTCGCTATCTTAAAAGCCTATTTTCTTGTTGGACTTCTTGAAAAATTAACTCTTAATTTTAAATGATAGTAAGGTAGTTATTCAAGCTATTTCTGTAATATTGCGTCTCCTGCAAGACAGTTTATAATGTCAACGATTTAAAAACATGTTAAGTAGTACTTTCAAACTTTTAATAAAACTTCGGGTATCGAAGAAGGACCTTCAATGAAACCTCCCGTTTCAATTCTGCTGCTCCTAACCAGTGTCAGAGGTTAACATACGTCCATTTTTTGTGTCAGGTCAACAGAAATTAAAATAATATTTCTTCATTAGCGAAATTAACAGCGATATGTTTTATATACATCACTTCATGAAACTCTGCTTTCATACATAAAAGTAAATCAAAAATATCTGTGGATATATTGGTTTTAATGGATCATTGAAGTACAGCTCACCATGGAGTTAGGCTTGCAGTGCAAAATTTGTTTAAGCTCTTGTTTACCGGTGCTGGAGAAAAAGATATCGTAAAAGCTGTTGTGTCTCTGCTCAGGCTGGTTCATATCCAAACGTAAGCTAGGAATCCCACTCTGTAATTGATTCAATGATATTCCCAGTATCAACTGGCTTTATTATGGTGGAATTTTCGCACACAAATATGAAGAATAAGGAATCAAAAATGTTTTCTAAGTTAAGCAAGGAGGATTCAATTCTTTTCTTTTTTTCTTCTTCACTAGCACAGACATCATTTTTCTTTAGAACTGTTGAATAAAGAATTAACAGTAGATGCTATAAATTAGTCAAGAAATAATCAGATTAAAAGTGATGATTTTCAATAAAATCAAAAGACTCTACCAGAGGTAAAAATTATATCAATTCTGAGATTGAGAACCAGAAAAATCAGAAACTACCAGAAACTATACTAACTAATATACCAACTGTACCAACTAAAAAGGTGTAAGGGAATCTCATTTGATATTGTAGATAAATTATTTGTAAAAACAGGATTGATTAGATTAATACAAAATACAGAAGAAAAACTAGAATAAATAATAGAAGATGGCTGTTATTGACGGTAATTATTATAGCGAAACCATTAATTTTATATGTATTCTATATAGTAAGTCTTCTGAACCTGTAGTTGCACTGAGACCTTTAAGTTGCTAAAGAAATTTATACAAATAAGTTAAAAGAAGGTAGACAATGATGAATTGGAAGTGTTTGGGTAACTACTAAATTGAAAGACTTATATGTCTTTCTTCTTACAATAGGAAGATTGAATATCATAAGCAGGATATGCACTGAGAACTTTGATTAAAATATACTTTGGAGTATGTCCTTCGCTATTTGGAATATTAAATTGCTTGAGCTTGTTGGGAAGTCAAACGAAAATTTTGGTAGAGAATATACACAACTTCTTGGACTTACTTTAAATGTTGATGTATCAAGTACCGGTCTATTACTTTTATATGTATTCTATATAGTAATTCTCAAGCCACATAATCAATACATACATAACTTAGCTGTGAGGTTATTAAACCTAATAAAAATTATTTTTTTAAAAATCGATTATAACACTTAAAAAAATATCACATAAAAAGTTGCTCTCAAATGCTTCAAATGACAACTCAATGAACATCAACAAATATTTTCCAGATTTGGCTGCGCTCTTTGCATGTCAAGTTTAATTGTTTAACCAGACATATATAATTATTTCAAATATCACAAAATATTCATCATATCTGATTCCTCACTATCATCATTGATCTTCTTTATGTGTTTATTTAAATCGAGATCAATTATATGACAAACTCGTGGCTTGGATCACTTAAACTCAATTAAGCACAAAATCTCTTAATTTTGTTCCATTTGAGACTTTGCGACTTAAAGTAATTAATTTTTAAGTATTTTTGTTTCTTAAATTTGTAATAAACAATTAATTGAAAAGTTAAAAATATATACAATATTTTTTATGTTTTCTAGTATTCCAATCGAAATTATTAAATAAATAATTAAAGAAATACTTTACTATTATTGTTAGAAGTTCAGAGTTTTAAATTGAGGATCATAATCATTAGTATTCCAGATAGTGATGGTCCACTTGAGCACTTAAGCAAAAATAATATGCCGTTGTAGCACCACAGGTTTAACCATTGTTATTGCGACAACTAGAGGTCAGCGTACGAGCAAA